ATTAGAAAAAAATAAGAAGAATGATGTGGGATAATTTTAATCTCACATTGAAAATGTTTGGAAAGAGGAGCTCTTGAAAATGTTTACAAACATAATTGCTTGCCCATCACTGTGGGCAAGTAGTGATAAGTCTAAAGTTTTTTTTTTTTTTTAATTTTTTAGAAGTAAAGGAAAATTAAAAATGGAAAGGAAATATTTCAGTAATAATATTTTACATCATTAAGTAGTAAAGGCATATTTTAAAAAATAGTAAATGTAAATTAAAAATCATCAAATTAAAATGTAACGGAAATTAGGTAAAAATATCACTACATCTATATTCTAATTGACTGAAAATAAAAAAAATAATTGACTGAAAATGAATCTAATATTACTAATTGACTGAAAATATAAAATGAAATGAATATTAATAATTGACTGCAAATAAAAAATGATTCATAATTGACTTAAAAAAAAAAGACAAATAAATGGTCAGATCATTGCATTTTAATTAAAAATGGAATGAAAATTAAAAATTTGAGGAAAAAATATTTCAATAATAATATTCTACATTATCAATAGTAAATGCATATTTTAAACAATAGTAAAGGTAAATTAAAAATGGAACGGAAATATTTCAATAATAATATCTACATCATCAATTAAAAATGGAACGAAAATTAGGTAAAAATATCACTGCATTTGATATTCTAATTGACTAAAAATAAAAAAAATAATTTGCTGAAAATGAATCTGATATCACTAATTGACTGAAAATATAAAAGGATAACTAATTGAGTAATATTCTACCATTATATATTTTAACCCAAATAACCCGTCCCGATGAATTGAAGGTGTTAGCTCTAGACGAAGATGAACAAGATTGCGTTGTCACTACCAATGTCGTCTACAAAGAGGTTTCAATAATGTGTAAATATAATCGGGGATATTAAGTTTTTTTTTTTAAATGAAAAAAATTGTTATATATCTTGACAAAAAAATATATCTTCCATACAAATGAATAAGGATACCAATTCATTTCTATAACTGAGTTGTTAGAGAACGAGCACATTTGCCTAATTTATGAAAATACTAAATAATGATAAATAAAATCTTCAAAGTTATAGCACCATATGTGTACATCTAGACATTAGCTATTAATTTGAGCAATTATTTACACAAATTCAAACAATAATAACATCAAAATATATAAACGATGCAAACCATATCTTTAATTGCACTATATAATATTGGATGTTCTAATTTAAATAATTATATATCGATTCATGTATTCTTACTATATTACAACAAATTTATTCCGTGCATCGCACGGGTGCAAATACTAGTAATATAAACAATGCATTTCAACAGATAATCACAGTATCACACTAACATTTTTTAATTCACGTTAGAGCTTAACTTTATTGCTGATTCTTATTAGATTGATAGATCTGTGTACGGCATTATGTATATTTTGAATTATTATTTTTTATAATCTATGTTGGAGTCCAGCGGAGCTGGAGCTCAAAAAATTAAAATTTGATTGAGCTTGAACTTTAAATTCTTTTAATTGAGTTGATTTTTTAATTTCGTTTATTCAAGTTTAGCTCGCCTCAATTAATCCCTATACATCTTAACTATAATATAGCCATATAGTTTGGTGAGCAATTATTATTAAAATAATTGCTCACCAAACTATATGGTTATATTATAGTTAAGATTTATTTATTTATATATTTATTACATGGTGCATAAAATTTCAAATTAACCTTAATTCATTTTCATCTCTCTTGCCTCATCCAATCCATCCAAAAACTCACAAATAAACTTCAATTGAGATTATTCTAATGAGGTCAATCTTAAAAATTTAGTACATAGTAATTTTTTTTTTTTGAATGCTACTAGCTCTATTACATTGTAGTATCTGTTCATATACTTTCTCAACCTACTGAAACACAAAGAGCCAATAACGCCTCCACTGAGGCTCGAAATCACAACCTTCCACTTGGAAGTCCACCCCGGATACCATTAGACCACATAGTCCTGGTAGTACATAGTAATTAATATTACAAATTTTTAAGAACTTAGTAAACTACAATAGTAATTGAATTACAATTTTCAGAGTCACCGCGGATCAAAATTTTTAAACCTTTGAGATTTTTAACAATTTTCAGAGTCACCACGGACCAAAATTTTTAGACCTAAAAATTTCTAGAAAAAAAAATACTATGTACTAAATTTTTAATATAATTTAAGATTTGTAGTAATCACCCATCTTAAAAACCAATTCTTATTTTAATTGTAAATATATTTATGTTCATAATTTTATCATAGCAATTCACTCATAATTATTAAATAACAAAATTTTTATATATGAATAAACCTCATATATGGTATATTTTTATAATATATTTTTCGTGCATCGCACGGGACAAATACTAGTACATATATTATATACGGAGTATATCTGTAAAAAGAATAAATTCATAATAAAACTATTTTTTTTTGTAAAAAGGTAATTAATCACATTAACTATAGGAATGTCAATCATGCTAGCTCGTTTGATTTTGAGCGAACTAACCCTATTGCATTGTTGGGTCCATCAATTTGGACCGTACCTCTCAGTTGGGTACATCATTGCCGCGCCGACCAGAGTACTGTCGACATTCTCCTGTTTGGCGAAACCGACTTCCCGTTGTTCAAGTCTAGGGTTGAATAGGTTTAAAGTCAACAAAGAAGGTAACAAATTACCAAATCAGCAAATTTTTATTTTTATTTAAGTTCCATGTCAACATTATTTATGGAAGTATAGAGAGAAATCTGGAAAAAAAAAAAAAAAAAAAAAACATTCAAGTGAATAAATTTTAAAAAGTACATGTGTCTTATTAGATCTTATTTTAGTCCAAGATGTTAATTAAATATCAGCTTGATGATTTTTATCCTAACCATAAAACCTTCGGCGGTTGTGCTTATCGTTCAACTAAAATTGTTTACATTTTCAAATTAATATTCTAATGTTTCAATTTTAATAAACTAACACATTTACAATAATAAATATAAATTTATACATCATTGAATCAATCTAAACCTGGATTTACATTGCGAAATTTGAACTAAAAATAACTAATATATTATTTATATATTATTAAAATTTTATTTAATTTTTTAAAAATATTATGCACATTGACGATGAGCTAATCTTTTATCTGAGATACTAGTTTTTTACACGCATTGCGCGATTGGGATAATGCCCAATGCTTTTTTTTTTTTTAAATAAGTACTTTAATGTATATTAAGGCAAGATTATATTGAAATTGTTCATGCATAGATAATTGAAGGTTGAATTTGCGTATTTAAATAGGTAATTCTTCTCCCAAAGGTTGAGCCCCCCCCCCCCCCCCCCCACATTCCGACCCGACAGAGCATTGTGGGAAGTTGTAAATCACGATGACTCAATGGTTCAGCAGACAGGGCCAAATGCTGTTACGCACAAGGAATCTGCCCACTTTGGACATAATTCCCGCATTGCCGGTGCCGAGGTTCAAACCTTGGTCTCTTCTCCCAAATACTACCCACTAAACCATTGAGCTAAGCCCGTGCGGGTTAAATAGGTAATTCTAAGTTTACAAATGCAAGATAATATAGTCAATATTGATTGTAATTGTCAATAAAATAATTGTATAGGTATGGTTGAAACCAAATACGGGACATAAGGGAGAACAAATAAAAATTAGGGCATAAAATATGAAATATATACTAATATTGTTTGAGGAGATTCCGACATTAGGATTTGTGGTTAAGTTCTATTAAGACTTTAATATTAGAATTAGATTAATGGTGTAGTTATAATTCTATATTAGACTTTAATATTAGAATTAGACTAACGGTGAATTAACGGAAAAGTTAAATGGATAATCATATAATTAAGGATAAATTAAAAAATCTTAAACGAAAAAAATTAAAACCTGAACAATATGAACCATTCATTTGATTTAATAATTTGGCGGTCATTTTTTCTAACCAATGTTAATAATTAAATAAATTCGCTGGTGCGAATATAATCAATTAATAAATTTGAATATAAAGAATTTTTATATTAAAGAAAAATAAAGACAATATAACTAATAAAATTATTTATCTTATTTAATTTATTGATAATGAATAACTTTTTTTTTTTTAATAAAGACATTGTGAACACATAATTCTAAATTAAAGAAATGCATATGTATTATTTTTTGTTGTAACTACTAAATTATTATTTATATAATTTAATAAGAGTAAAATAGAGTACTAATTATGCCACCTTTGATTGGGATAAGGTTCAAACCTAAGACCTTTTTTTTAATTGAAATCAATGAATAAGTTAACGGTGAACTAACGGCAATTCTTAAAATTTTAAAGGAATTAGTAACGGTGTGTGGGTATTTTAGGAAATTTAAGTGTAAAATTTAAATCTGATCAATCTTTTAATCAATCTGCGCCATTCATTTGATTAAAATCTGTGACTGCCATTTTTTCTACCCATTATAGGCCTAACTCTCTTGGGCTCTTATTAGTATAGTAGATAGATAGTAGATAGTAGATAGATAGTAGATTATAGGCCTAACTCTCTTGGGCTCTTATTAGTATAGTAGATATTAGTATAGTAGATAGTAGATTATTAGTATAGTAGATTTTAACCCTAATAATCCTAAGATATCTAGTAACTTGAGGTTCAAGAAAGTTTCCTTACATAAAAGAAGGATTTTGGAAACAACTCTCATAATCCGCAACTTAAGCTGAAGAGAAAAAGAAGAAAGGATTAAGTAATGGAGGAGAGTGGTATTGACGACTATTCCGACTATCTCACAACCTATTCAGTTAATCCCTATACATACATATATTATATACGGAGTATGCGGGTAATGGCTTTAATTTTTGGCTTCCCCTTTGGAAGCTTAAGATTCCCAAAATGGAAAACCTTCCTCTGAAAAGTCTTGAGTGATATTTTGCCAACCAGCTCGAATCTGATTTCAAAAAGGATGGAGGTTGAGCCTACTTGCCCAATGTGTGGTCTTCACCCAGAAGATACCATGCATGCATTAGTATCATGTGTTTATGCCCGTGCTGTTCGGAGCCACACTACCCTGCCGTCTTTTAGCCCTCCTTACGCTGAGTTTCCTTTGTGGTTTGAGGGTGTTTTGACAAACTTTTCTTCTGATAATATTATGCTAGCAGCTGCTGTGTTATACCATAAATGGAGAGCGAGAAACAGGGCTGTCTGGGAGGCGGCACTTCCTTCGCCGAGGGCGGTAGCTACGGCTGCAACAGCTACACTCCAGGCTTGGCGGCTGGTTCATGCATCCTCTCCTCAGGGTCACCCACACAGCACCGGAACCCTCCGATTGGTTCATGGACACTACATCGCTGCCTTCAACAGCCATCCTAGGGCCTGTCTTAGCTTTCTCCATTAATGGCGGAAGCTATGGCTTGCAAAGAAGTGTTTTCTTGGCTTAAGGACAGGGGCATTCTCAGGGTTCAGCTTTACACGGATTGTATGCAGCTCCAGCACTATCTATCATCGTCCTCTAGTTTGCGATCCCACGTCCGCTTCATTGTGGATTAAGAGTGTAAATGAGCCGAGCAGCTCGCGAGCTGGTTGCGAGCTACTCGGTCAAAGCTTGGCTCGAGCTCAAGCCTAGCCTAGAGCCATATAATATATTAGTATTTGTCCCGTGCGATGCACGGAAAATATGTTATAAAAATATACTCTATATGAAGTTTATTCATATATAAAATTTTTGTTATTTAATAATTATCACCCGTGCGAAGCACGGGGAAAAATTATGTTATTATAAATATAAATAAAAAAATAGAAAAAATAAAAATATTTTAAATTGTTTAATATAATAATATTTTTGAGCTTCCATTGGTCAAGTATTTATTATTTTTATAGAATACAAAATTATAATTATAATTATAATTAAAATTTTATATGGTTAATATAATCTCCAATTATGTACATATTCAAATAAACTTATAGAGAGAATTTACATAATTACATTGATTTATTCTTAATTGTATTTCATCTATATTATAATTTTCACAATACGAATAATAACTAAGATAATTACATTTAGAAAGCAAATTTCAAATTTTGTATGAGTAAATTTAAACTCTAATTGAACACATTTTTTATATGATTATATAATATATTCTTTATGCACATGTCATTCCATAAACCCAAATGTCATTCTATAAGTCCAAGACCACTTTTTGTGGAGATAATTCAAATGTATTTTTTTTTTCTTTTAAAAGTCCTAAGTTTAGAAATTCAGAAAAACATTAAAGACTCATACGATATATACATTTATATATATTTAAATTTTTATTTATGGCTCAAATGATTTCTTTTTTATTCTGAAGTCCAATAATTGACCGACAGCCCGCAGCATTTGCTTTCTTCATCCTTCTGCCATTTCTTTGAAGCATTTGAGATGGAGAAAAATTATATGTGGAAGCTTGCATTGATTGCACTGTTTCAAATATCGAATAGGCTTCCATCGAAAATTTAATTAATATTGTAATCCCAAGAAGCACCATCCTTTATATAATAAAGCTATATGGTTTGGGAAATAATTAATGTTACAATTAATGCCACGACATCCTTTATTATAAAAAAAAAAAACAACATTTAAAAAATAAAATAGCTATATATTATATAATCATATAAAAAATATACTTTTGGAAAATAAAATAGCTATATATTATATAATAATATAAAAAATGTGTTCAATTAGAGTTTAAATTTATACATACAAAATTTAAAATTTGCTTTCCAAGTGTAATTATCTTAGTTATTATTTGTATTGTGAAAATTATAATATTGATGAAATAAAATTAAGAATAAATCAATGTAATTATGTAAATTATCTCTATAAGTTTATTTGAATATGCACATAATTAGAGATTATATTAACCATACAAAATAAAATAGCTATATATTATATAATCATATAAAAATATACTTTTGAAAAATAAAATAGCTATATATTATATCCTTTATATAATAAAGCTATATGGTTTTGGGAAATAATTAATGTTACAATTAATGCCACAACATCCTTTATTATAAAAAAAAAAAAAAAAACACAACATTTAAAAAATAAAATAGCTATATATTATATAATCATATAAAATATACTTTTGAAAAATAAAATAGCTATATATTATATAATCATATAAAAAATATGTTCTATTAGAGTTTAAATTTACACATACAAAATTTGAAATTTGCTTTCCAAATGTAATTATCTTAGTTATTATTTGTATTGTGAAAATTATAATATAGATGAAATACAATTAAGAATAAATCAATGTAATTATGTAAATTATCTCTATAAATTTATTTGAATATGCACATAATTAGAGATTATATTAACCATACAAAATTATAATTATAATTATAATTATAATTATAATTTTAATTTTAATTGTAATTTTATATTCTATAAAAATAATAAATACTTGACCAATGGAAGCTCAAAAATATTATTATATTAAATAATTTAAAATATTTTAGTTTTTCTATTTTTTATTTATATTTATAATAACATAATTTTTTTCCGTGCATCACGCGGGTGAATTACTAGTAAATAACAAAAGCATATCAAATAGACTTTCATTGTAAAGCCAGAGATTTAATTAATATTGCATCGTTTCATATTTTCTATTAATCGGAAATCGGAATCCTTAATATTAATATCATAACATTTAATAGCTCCATTAATTCAATAAATGTAATCCTTTGTTATGGGCAAGAAAAAAATAGCTATATTATTTTTCAAATGTTGTGTTTTTTTTTTTTTTTTTTTTTTTTTTTTTTTTTTTTTTTTTTTAGTAAAGGATGTTGTGGCTATTTTATATTTATAGCTAGTAATAATAATAATAATGTTGGTAATTAATTGTAACATCATAAAGCTATAAGGTTTGGGAAGTAACATTAATTGTAACATTAATTACTTCCCAAACCATATAGCTTTATTATAGTTAAGATATAATAATGATATAATATAATATAATAATAATATATATAAATAACAATTAGAAATTAGAATTTTAAACTCAAAATCACTAAAAATTTCTATTATTTATGTATGGATAAAACAAAGTAGTTTGAATTTTAAACCAAAAGTATTAAATATGACAAAATCGAGCGTGAACTCAAGCTCAAGATCGAGCTCGAGCTCGAGCAGCCCGAAAATTACCGAGCTCGAGCTCGAACTCGAGCCAAACCTCCATTAACGAGCACGAGCTCAAGCCTACCCAGGCTCGAGCTCGGCTCGGCTCGTTTAGACCCCTATTGTGGATGAGTGCAGATTGATTATGTCTACGTTTACTCAGTGCTCTATTAGTTATATACATAGATCATACAATATTATCGCTCATTCTCTTGCATCTATAGCTTTTGCTCAGAATAGTGCTTTGTACTGGGAGTCTAATCCTCCGGATTCTATTGCAATTTTCTTTTAATGATATCGTCCATTTGGCTTTATATAATGATATCGTCCATTTGGCTTTATATATATATATATATATATATATATATATATATATATATATATGAAGTATATCTGTAAAAAGAATAAATTCATAATAGAATTTTTTTTTTTTTTTTTGTAAAAAGGTAATTAATCACATTAACTATAGGAATGTCAATCATGCTAGCTCTTTTGATTTTGAGCTAACTAACCCTATTGCATTGTCGGGTCCATCAATTTGAACCGTACCACTCATTTGGGTACATCGTTGCCGCGTCGATCGGAGTACTGTCGACATTCTCCTGTTCGGCGAAACCAACTTCCTGTTGCTCATGTCTAGGGTTGAATAGGTTTAAAGTCAACAAAGAAGGTAATAAATTACCAAGTCAGCAAATTAAATTTATTTTTATTTAAGTTTCATGTCAACCTAACATTATTTATATGATGATGAAGAAGAAGAAGAAGAAGAAGAAGAAGATTGGGTGCCGCACTTGACGGAGCTTTTGCCGGAGGTAGTGGACTTCTTAGATGATGATGATGAAGAAGAAGAATATTGGGTGCTATAGCTGGATGAAGTCCGAAAGCCCATGGATCCGGAGCTGGAACTCGAGTACCGCCCGCCCCTAGACGGCAGGCTGGGACTCTTCATGGTGACGACTGACGAGAGAGATCAGAAATGGCGGGTACAAAATTAGTATGCAGTTAATAACGTACCCGCGATTGCGATTTGCGAGAGATTGAGAGACAGAGAGAGGCAGAGAGGGATGCGGTTGTGGTTGCGCCTACAGTTTGCTCCAAACCCTAGATTTTTGCTATTTCAAAATAAATAAATAATGCAGGGAGCGGAGGAGGCTGTGTGAACGGCGACAACCTGGAGAGATGGGGCGAGGATGACCGGCGACGACCTTACGATGAAGACGATGGAGGATGAAGCGCAGAGAACGACAGAGAGACAACGAGTTGGGGAGGTAACTAAAAATAACTAATGTAGTTGCATGTACTATAATATAAGATAATATTTATAGTAAGTTTTTAAATTTTTATTATTTATTTTAATAAAAATATTTTATTTATAATAAATTTATTTATATATTATTAAAAATATATTTAATTTTTTAAAAAATATTAAAAATAAACTTACACATAAATTAAATTTAATATATATTTTGTTGCATCACTTCTAACAAAAATAAATAAATAAATAAATAAAAATAAAAATTAAGTGACTTAGACTTTCTAGCTAGCCCACTAAATTTAAGGGTAGTCTATTTGCGCAAATTATGCCGTGGAATCGTGTTCACCGAGAATGGTGAACACAAGTCAAAACGACGTCGTTTTTAGGCAAAAAAAAAAAAAATCGGGGATGTGGAGTTAACGGCGCGTTACTGATCAAATTATGAATTTTCTGTTATGAGATTATGAATTTTATGAAAATTCATAATCGCATAACAGAAAATTCATAATCGCATAACAGAAAATTCATAATCGCAAAATTCATAATCGCATAACAGAAAATTCATAATCGCATAACAGAAAATTCATAATCGCATAACAGAAAATTCATAATCTCACAACTGAAAATTCATAATCTCATAACAGAAAATTCATAATCTTATAACAGAAAATTCATAATCTCATGGTTCCAAAGTGAATGTGTAGGCATGGTTCCAAAGTGAATGTGCAGGCATGGATTCATAATTTATGAATGTCCGTGATTTCGGACAGGAATATGTAGGCATGGTTCCAAAGTGAATGTGCATGCATGAATTCATAATTTATGAATGTCCGAAACTCCGAAATTATGAATGTAATGAAAATTCATAATCTCATAACAGAAAATTCATAATCGCATAACAGAAAATTCATAATCTCATAACAGAAAATTCATAATCTCATGGTTCCAAAGTGAATGTGTAGGCATGGTTCCAAAGTGA